AAAAAAAAATATATATATATATATATTTCATGACTTTTGGGACACCTTGTAATCAGAATTCTCACAGCACATAACACAGTGATCTTCTATGGTCAGGCCGCTCTAAAACAGATTTAAACTGCTCCAAATGAAAAGACAGAAGCTGCTAAGATCCCTGACCTCTTTTCGTCAGTATTTCTACTCTGAAGATGGAGGCAGAGAGTTCTTCCAAAATGTTTGAACCCATCTATCAAACTACACTGTGTCACATCCCACATGGCTGTAATCTTAACACTGCCTTGAGGATCTCAAACCTTGCATATCATAAATGGTAGCTTCGAAAATTCTGAGACAGAAGGAAATAATGAAGAATAGTGGCACACAGTTCAAGCTTGCTCAGATATGTCAAGACATGTATAGTCCCTGCAATTCTTCAGCTGTCATTACATTAGTGGTTGTGATAAGATTCAGGGGACAAAGTAGTATGTGGTAGCAGGTTCCAGAGCAGTGATATGGATCAGCTCAAGCAGTGAGCTAACACGAAATTCTACTAGTGGTTGGAAAAATTGGTGATAGAAAAACTGCAGAAGCTTTGGACAGTATATGGCCAACCAATTATGTCTCAGTGGCAACACAGGTTCAAGGATGGCTGTGAGCTGATGGAGGATGACCCACGCAGTGGACGGCCTGCACCATCATGAATAAAGACAATGTGAGACACGTACACAAGGATGAGTTATGACTGCTGACAGATGGCAAAGAACATCATAGAGAAATCAGGAATTTTGGCTCTCGTAAGAACATTACAATGCATGTCTACCAACATACTGTATCAATATTGCTGCTACAGGAACAATGTGAAAACTGTGTAAGGATCACTGAGCTCTTAAACACATGAAATAATGATCTGGACTTTCTTCATGGGATCAAGAACTTGGTGTTCTCTGCACCGTACCAAAAGCAAATTACAATTGTGTGTGTGGAAGTGGCCGACAGTGAGAAGAACCACTCTTCTGCAAGACTGCTCTAAAGAACAAGTGGCACTGTAAGCCCTTTCTGATTGGCAGGGCATCATACACCATGGGCTACTATAGGCTCAGCATATATTCTAGAAGTGTTGTGTTTCATTTTGCCGTTTTGTCCGGTATCTTGTTCTAAGAATAGGATCTGGCACAACTAAACATTATAGTGGAAATGGGGGTCTAGAAACTAGAAGACCTAAGATACAATTTAAAATTTTATACACTTCTCAGAGAATTGGTCTGTAATTAGGGGTTTACGTATTCCAAATTATCATATTATATTTGTATCTCAACAGAAGAATGAGTTTAAAACACCAACGGCTCAAGGCACACCTGATCTTAGTACATTTCTTGTGACATGCAGTGCCATAGCTACAACCAGTGAAGTTTCAGAGTTCAACAATAAAAGAATCAAAGTTAATAATTTTAACTGACCACAATTTGTGCATTTTCATCCCAAGAAGCATTTAATGGACCAACTTTAGAACTTGAAATTTGCTCAAATCTCCTCAGTAAAGGAACCAGAGGTGCACTGGTTCCAGATGACACAACCCTGAAAAAAGAAAAGGCAATGTTATGAACTGTATAATTTGTGATACCTTCTAAACAGCCCAACCATAATACAGGCATCCCCTAACTTCCGCTGAGGGGTTTGGCTTATGGAACTGTTCTGTATAAGTCTTGGATGGACTTACGACCAGCTAAAGAAAACATTCCATCCTCTCAGTTTTCTTTTATTCACATAGTGGAGGGTGGAGTCCAGTTGGGTCCATTTGGCATGGCAGCCACTGATTGGCCTAATGTACCTGCCCCGGGTGATTATAATGATGGAGAATTTGGTAGAATTAGGATTTGCAGGGGAAACCGAAGTACTTGAAGAAAACCTACCCCAGCTCCACTTTGTCCACCACAAATCCCACTTGACCAGACCCGGGTTTTAACCCAGGCCACCGCGGTGGGAAGCCAGCGACTAACTGCATGAGCTATGGCACGACCTATCCTCTCAGTTAGTAAATAATGTCATCTTTTCCCCAGGGATGGCAGTGATATTAAGTGTATGGCTGCATCACAGAATGCCTCAGTAAGACACTTCTGCAGTACCAGCCATCATACATGCATCTTCATGGCAGTAAAATATTATTTTCATTACATGTTGGTTCTTAACGATTAATCCCAGCCCAATACATTTCCAGGTACCCGAAAATCTCAACACCAAAGAGCTAGCAGATTTTTTGTTAGAGATGGATAATGTAATTATTAATTTTTAGTCTTGATTAAAGAAATTAATTTAAATTAAAAAAAAATCATATAAAATCACATTAGCATGAAATTCATACAAAATTCAGTATCAAACTGGGCTACTTGTATACTTATGAATTCTACTAAAAGATCCAGTGTGTGATGCAGTATTAACACACATTATAAACAAACCTGTTGTCCACTCGATACTTTCCCCTGTCCCATAAGTTGAGAAGTAAGATCACAGCATCAAGTATGTTGCTCAGTGCACCTCTTTGAACTGCAAGTTCAAGCAGTAAACAGAGTGCTGTGTGCTGATCACTGACAGGAACTTCACACCAGCTGCGACTACTATTTGTATCCCTGGAACACATACTGGCATGTCAGCAACAATCTACTGTTCTGCCCTGTCAATTTTAATAATACAAGCACCATTCCAGGATTCATCCAGAAGAAAATCATGATCCTCAGTTTGAACTGAATAGCTGATCCTTGTGCCAAAAAATTTAACTTGGGATCTCCTGAATAAGAAGTAGGAGTACTGCCAACCTAATGACATTTAGTGATTAAACTATTGAAACTGTAAAGATAAAAGCCAATTCCCAAGCAAGAAGCCATATGAATCAAAATGATTAATAACATTTGGAATCTGGCAGTCAACACTACTTTCTTATGTAAGAAACAGATTCAGACAGGACATGTTAAACTACTTCAGATAATTACCCTCTTTCATCAAAGTACTGAGCCATATCAAGTGCTCCAAAGCATATTACTGGACTTCTACTTACCCTAGTACCACTTGTCGTAGAAACTTGTCCGATCTTTCAACAACTTCCAGCCATACTGGTGAGACAGAATTTTCATCAAAGAGAGTTGCTTCAGGAAGAGACTGTAATGCCTGAAGAGATTCATTAAGTAACTCACTGCATAAATCAGCATCTTCACCTTGAAAAGAGATAAAAATGGATGAATATTACTCTGAAACATGACAAATTCTCAGAATCGCTCCCATCCCCCCCCCCCAAATCGAACCTTTAAATCTGTTATATTTGTAATTTGGACTTAAATTTGAGGAAGAAACTAGTGAAATGCTACATTTGGAGCATAGCTCTGTATGGGGCTGAAACATGGACACTTAGGGCAGTAGATCAGAAACACCTGGAAAGCTTCAAAATGTGGTGTTGGAGAAGGATGGAGAAGATCAGTTGGACCGATTATGTGAGAAATGAAGAAGTGTTAATTAGAGTCAGTGAGCAGAGGAATATCCTACACGAAATAAGAAAATGGAAGGCTAATTGGATTGGTCATGTTTTATGCAGAAACTGCCTTCTAAAAGAAGTTATCGAAGGAAAGACAGAGGGGCGGATAGAAGTGACAAGACGACGAGGAAGAAGACATAAGAAGATGCTGGATGACCTTGGGGACAGAAGAGGATACTGTCATTTGAAGGAGAAAGCTCTAGATCGCATTAAGTGGAGGAATTGTTTTGGAAGAGACTGTGGACCTGTCGTCTTGACAGATTACTGATGATGATGATGATTTGTAATTAAAATGCAACCCTTTTATCCTCCTTCTTTCAACATTTCCACACATCGCTGAACCAGAAATCAAGCCTCTCTCCAGCTATTTCTCTCTTCCCAGAGTCCTTCCTCAGTTCTCTCCCATGTTATTTCTTCCTTCTGTGTGACACTTTTCCTGTTCTGTGCTTCTGAGCCCAATCTCAGACTCCTTCACCATAATTCAAGTTAGATTTATTACTGCAGTGCCACAGTGCTTCTGCTCTCCAACTTGCAGGAACAACAGCATACCTGACCTCCAAGCTCTCCTCAGGAATGCAAACGAGAAATTCAGTGCTGCCCTGGAACCCACTTTAGCAAGGCTTATGGTTGCCTTCTCTGCAGGTTTTGTGCTGAAAGTGAAATATACAATGTTTCAATCACACAAACATTAACACATTTCATTTACTCTACAATTAGAGAATCATAGCATACAATAAATATCTTCAATTATTTATAGTGAATGCAATACAAGCAATTTATTGATAAAACGGTACTATACAGAGGACCTATGTTACCGTAATTGTACTTAAGATTCAGCCATGTTAACACCTTCTACAAATGTACTTGGGTACGACTTGAGCACAGCCTGCCATTTCATCCCTACTCTGAAGCTGACCAAAGCAGCAGAAAGCTCGTACCTTCTGTGTTCCCCACTGGTTCCATTCAAAGTTGTTTTAATGTGTGGCCTGCTATCGTCTGCTGGCAGATGCCTTCCAAGTGCAACAAAATACCTCTGTGCAACCATCAACCGTTGCCTTAACCTGCATGCTGAGAGCGTACTGCTGGCAGCTTCATGGCATAAAACCTTCTGTTCGTAGTTCAGTGATCTGATGCAAGACTGAAGCTGCTCAACAGCTGAAACAATAAATTGGTGGGTTCACATTACCAACTCTGTGGGACAATAACAATTCTGACATGTATTAAAATAACAAAGTAAAAAATAAAATGTTTTGTATGTATTTATTTAAAATACCATTAATTTTCATGCATATATTTACATGCTTTAGAAGATCTGTTAACATACATAATTTTGGTATCTTAACACTGAATAATTCTAATGATGCAATAACCTAAAATATGCACATAGCTGAATTAGTGGAACAATTCAGATTATGAGCTTAAAGACTATGGCATTCAGGAAACTTCCAATGCCATGTCCCTGATTATAACTATGATGAAACTTATTCAGTGTTCAGAACTTAATGCAGGCCAATCCACATAGACATAGTACTCTGACATGCAGCCTGCATCACTCTGTAAGTTATGGAAACCAAAGACACAAATCTTTTGATTCTAAAAGTGATAAGAGCTCACTTCTGACTGACATTTTGAGAACACTTGTGAAATTGAAATTGGCCTTACAAACGTACCTGGCTGTGGTCCCCATGCCCAGCTGTCTGTCTGTGGCTGTGAAGGTGCAGGATCAGCAGACTTAACCTCAACTCTTGCCGCCTCTTCGCGATCAAGGCGTTGACAGGGATTGCAATTGCACCCAGTCTGAGGTCCACATATTCCATCACAACATGGGCAAGTGAGAACTCGCAGGCCACAATAATAATGACCACTTTCACCTAAAATGAGACATATCTTGAAGTTTATCAGCAGCTGCAGAAAGCAAAGTAGCATGATTGTTCTTCTCTTTGTGTGGGAGGAGTTAATATTTATTTATAATTAATCTAATGATGCTGTCAGCAGGTCTCACCATTCAGCATCAAATAATAAAATGATTAATGAATGACAGAGTGGAAAGGATGTGGAAGGAATAAGTAGTGGCCTACTTTAAAAGCAATCACCTGGAGGTATGAAGGAAACCATGAAAGATTACATGATTCAAACCAGGAACTTCCAAATTCAACTGAGAAGCATCATTCACTGAGCCAACTTGCTCTGTTGGGATTCATAAGATTTGTCACAACAATGTTATACATACATTTCATGTGTGAAGAGCACGGAAACAGAGCCATGTGGGCCCAGTAACTGTAGCTGCACACAACTAAAAATTAGATAAGAACTACTTGCATTCTACTGAAGCCTAAAAGCTAAATTCTAAGAACTAATGCTTCAATGTCATTCTGTATGGTCACAAAAGTAATTCTGAAGTTGCAGTTTCTTGTAGGATTTGAGGTTCTCACACTGGTGGATATGAGCAGTTCTTTCTTCAGGGATATGTTATATATTGCACTGAAAATCAACCAGACATTTTGGAGAAATATATCACCTCCATCTGAAGGGTCAAAAACTAAGCCAAGCAATAAACCAAAATGATGGCTCTACACCTCATAAGATAGGACCCTAGTAGTTTCTTGCTTAAGAATACCACACATAATAGAAGTTACCTTTGTGAGCAGTAATACCAATGGAGTTCAATAAGCCATCACTAAAAGAGCCTGTGAGTTCGCCATCCTTGACCATTTCATTCCATAACTGTGTAAGTCCATCATTGCTTAGTGCTTGCTGCAAGTCTGTCTTCAGCCACTTGCCATCCAAGCGGCTCTGTGTACGTACAACCACATCAAGCTGCCCAGTCATAATGAATTTTGACCTTCACAATTTGCATTCAGGATAATACTCATCGGTGCTGAAAAAGAAAACAAAAGTAAATTTCAGACTGTTCACAAAGAGGATAAAAAACAGGAAAGTTGGCTAGTATGAATATTATTTGCCCCTTCTGAAAGAAGCAGAAAAATATTACTATCCACTTAAAAAATTATATGTTCTCTTACATGCATTATTTACAAAAACACATGAACTTCATCCTTTTGAGTTTCACTTTATCTTTTTATTAAAAGCTATGTAGAGGGTAATATGGAATATACACATTATTAAGTTATTAATCCTGCAATATAAAGGAGTTTCAAACTTCTCATGCAGTTATCATATTTAACCAAATCTCTGGGGTGAAATCTACATTACTGACTCCAGTACCCTGAAAGTGTGGGTATTATGGAACAGTTAGCCATTACAGTATTCTGTATTAACTGCCAAAACAAAGCCAAAGTCACTTCCTACCAGAACAAATAATAAAACTCATCTAGGCATAATCCTAGGTATTATGACAGAATCTTTAAACATTTCTGACATCTTCTAATGCTCTGCAGAAACTAAGAGAGGAAATACTGTGGTATCTCTTACTGCCTGCCAATTTCACATTGCAAAGCTTCCATCTACAATATGTGATGACATAAAACTGTTCTGAGGCAGCAACCAACACTAACAACCCCCCCTTTGCAGTGTCTTCAAAACACTGTTATCTGGCAGCGGCTTGGAGTGCTTCAGAGTTATGAGATTTGAGATTCTCACAGTGGCAGGCAACAGGATTACATTCTTTTGGGATGGGACAACACATAGTTTGGAAACAGGCACCAATGTTTTGGAGGAACCAGCTCCCTCCACCTTCTACCTGAATATGGTGGCAGGAGGTTCCTACAATATGATGCTACCTATTTAACAAACTACAAGATGTCACATCACATGAAACCATAATGTTATTTGTAGAGTTTTTTAACATTCCTCAAAGCCGACATGCGTGACACTCTGAAAGCAATCCTCGAAGCCATCTGCAGCTCCCATAAAATCTTGGAAAACAGACCTACAGCTGGTCCTTTGTCCAATAGATACTTTTCAGAATATTATGCCACTCAAATCCAGCATAAACCCTGGGATGAAATAGAAAGGAACAGAAATATGTTTCCTGATTTTCCAAGAGGAGATACTGTGGCAACTTTCTGCTTAATCACTGGTCATGACTGTTTAGCAGCTCATTTACAAAAGCTGTTGATTTATCCATCTCCCATGTGTATTTTAAGCAGTAAGGAAAAGTCCATAATGAATCAAGACCATCTTAAAAAAATGTACTGTTTTAAATAATGGGAATCATATTGTGAAAATTTACTGGGATGCTAGAAGACAAATGAAATTCCTTGAAGGGTCTGAGCACTGGATACTACTATTCATCCATCAAACACAAAAGCCATAGTGTGAGAACAGAAGAGTACAGTGAGTGAGGGGCACAACAGCACATCGCTCAGCAAACTCCTGCTATACAAGTAGCAACTGATGTGCCAAGGCATCATCATGCAGTAAGCCTCTACTCATATCTTCAGTGTAGACAATGGAAGCAGTAACTTTCTCTGCAATGTTTGTAAACACCTCCCAGCAGAACGAACCTTGGAGATAGATGAAGAACTGTGTGCTTGCTTCATAGACTGGCAGAAGGCATTTGACTGGGTAAACTGGACCAAATTAATGCAGATCCTAAAGGAAATAGGTATCGATTGGCGTGAAAGAAGATTGATTAGTAAATTGTACATGGATCAGAAAGTTAGAGTGCGATTGGACAGAGGGGAGACAAGAAGTGTGAAGATTGGAAGAAGAATTCGACAAGGATGCTGTTTATCACCAATTTTGTTCAACTTGTACAGTGAATGCCTTACCAAGGAAGCTCTGGATGGGCTTGGAGACTTCAAATTAGGAGGGCAAATTATTCAAACTGTGAAATATGCAGATGACCTTGTGTTAATGGCTAAGGAAGAAACTGTGCTACAGGGTATGATTGATAGACTAATTGAAATTGGAAGGTGCTATGGCATGGAAATGAATGTTGAAAAAACAAAAGTAATGAAAATTTTGAGACAACCAACCCCAGTCACAATAAAGATAGACCAAAAACAACTGGAGAATGTGAAATTTTTTAAATATTTGGGTAGCTTGGTAACAGATGATGGAAGGTGTACATGTGAAATTAAATCTAGGATTGCCATGGCAAAAGTTGCATTTAGCAAGAAGAAGAATCTTTTTACCAGCAAATTGGACTTAAATTTGAGAAAGAAACTAGTGAAATGCTACATTTGGAGCATTGTTTTGTATGGGGCTGAAACTTGGACACTTAGAGCAGCAGATCAGAAACACCTGGAAAGCTTCAAAATGTGGTGTTGGAGAAGGATGGAGAAGATCAGTTGGACCGATTATGTGAGAAATGAAGAAGTGTTATTTAGAGTCAGTGAGCAGAGGAATATCCTACATGAAATAAGAAAACGGAAGGTTAATTAGATTGGTCATATCTTACGCGGTAACTACCTTCTAAAATAAGTTATTGAAGGAATGATAAAGGGGCAGATAGAAGTGACCAGAAGACAAGGAAGATGTAAGAAAATGCTGGATGACCTTGGGGACAGAAGAGGATATTTTCATTTGAAGGAGAAAGCTCTAGATTGCATCAAGTGGAGGAACTGTTTTGGAAGAGACTGTGGACCTGTCATCTTGACAGATTACTGATGAATGAATGACCAGACTACATGGTGTCATAACCTATAAGACAACAATACGAATCTTTCAACCATGGTTCATTATATATTAAGTCCACTGGTTTTACCACTCACTAGTATCGCTCACACTAGTGTACTAATAAGTCTATAAATATTTTCTCAAAACAAGACTTTTGATTAAACTAGGACCCTATGGCCATGAAGTTAATTCTGACCACAGAAATAATAATATAATCACAGCTGGCTGCTGGTGTCAATATAAATAAGCTGGAAGTAGCACTGCTGTTTCCTTAATTTTGTCAGCTTCAATTCCTATTTGGTACAGATGTGTTCATAGCATTCATTCATTCGTTCATTTTATTTGGCATTCATAAATGCTACAACAGTAGCACTTGAACAAGTCACATCATTAAATACATCATTCTTGAAATCCTTTTGCCCATATGCCTAAAGGATTACAATTTGTCAACAATAAATAAATGTATGTTTATATGTCCCTACTCACTGCTACAGCTTTGTATCACAGTCTTTGTAAGTTTCATAACAAAATCTGAAAATACAAAAGAAAAAAGAAACACTGACAGTCTCATACACGACCTGCCAAATTAAGAGAAGAGATTGGTATATCTATATTGAACACAACATTTTCAAGATGTATGCAAAATATATTATTTATCTAGAAATAATGACTTACACCTAGCATTCACCAGCATGAGTCTTAACACTACTACAATCTTCAACTACTGTGTTCATAACAGAAAGAGTTTTACATCAAGACCACGCATCACATCTTTCAAACAAATCTAGGTATATGGTAACACATTTAAAATTTGAAATTTAGAACTTTCAGCAAGGCATACTGGGTATATAATAGCTTTCACGCAGTCACTAGATGAAACACAGTGAAAACTAAAACAATTCAGGAAATAAGAAGTACTTTTTGATATACTATTCTGTACATATTAGTACCTATAAAGCAAATACTGGCTGATGAAAATTAATCTTTATGTGTCGTATCAAGTACATATCTGCTGCACAGCGGCATCTCCCGTTTAATTATACATCAATAATACAAAGAGTCCAGAAATCACCAACAAAGTCAAGTCAATAATCACACAGATACGAACTGGCACTCAGCTGTCGTTCGCCGGTTCTCGTTGTGTTTCCTGCAACATATACAAGATGTCACTCCAACCATTTTGTATTCATTCAGCTACGCTTATTCACTGAGTTTGAGGTTATGTGATATTAGAAACGTTTATACGGTAGGATACACGTAAAATGTATCAAAAGAGAAGTATCTTATTGGGTCCCAGTATTCTTGTAGCTGCCAATTTTCTGTCCAAACTGACACCAGACGTAAGGAAAAATGTTTTTAGATGTATGTTACAACGTAAGTATTACACGTGTTGAGTTTACATGTGGAAGGAATGCTTTATGAAGTATTTAAGACTAGTAATTTATATATATAAACTCAGAATTTGCCCGTCGATCAGTTGTTGGGCATAAACTATGTTACTGTTTTCAATAGTTTTGTATCGTTAACTTTAATCCTACCATTTTTAAAGTCGCACGAGTATTTCGTTTCTTGCGTTATTACTAACATAGGTTATTCAGTGTCGCATGACTAGTTATAAACGATCAAAGGGAAACGAAGTAGAAAGTAACGGTCTTGTCCTATTGTAAGATTCTATTACATTTGCCTGGAGGGACTGAGAGAAACCGTCAAAACTCCAGTCAGCCTAATATCTGTGCCAAAATTCGAACACAGCCCCCAGCCTCAAGATACACAGTTGCTTAACCCAGAAGATCACAATCTTAATTTTTGAATTGTTACCTAAGCTTACTAGATATTATTGGATTTGATGTTCTCACAGCAGCATCTATGTGAAACTACTGTCTTATGGGGGCTGTGACACCATGCAGTCTAGCAGAAGTTCTGCAATGTTTCACATGGATGTACTGCCTCCATCTTCAGGCTCAGCTTCCTGTTTGCTCCTTGCCAGATGTTTGCTTGCCTTATCTTTCAACCCTAATGTCAGAGATAGTATGATCCTCTGAATTGTCAGTGAACATCTACTGAATTGCATGACATCACATTTTAGAAGATGGTATACCTTAATAATAAATTGTTTATAAAAATGGTGAAGGAATAACTGTGAAGATCCTTATATTAGTTTCCTGTTTTAAGTAATAGTGGAGTATGGCTGTATAAACAGACCCAATCCAATTATTTTAATATGTGCCACCAGAATTTTTAAGGGCATATGAGGGGGTACCCAAAAGAAACCGAACTTATTTTTTTTTAACTTATTTATTCAAATTTTAAGCACAAACCTTCAATCCCCTTCAAAGTACTCTCCACTTACACTAATACACTTGTCTAGTCTTTTATTCCATTTTTCAAAACATTGTCTAAATTCATCTTTTGAGATGCTTGACAGCGCCTCCGTCGTTTTTTTCTTTCATGTCTCTTTTCATTCGAGGAAACAAAAAAAAAAGTCGCACGGGGCAAGGTCGGGTGAGTATGGAGGGTGAGGAACAGGGGTCATACCATTTTTGGTCAAGAATTGTCGTACAGACAGGGCTGTGTGAGCAGGGGCATTGTCATGATGGAAAAACCAGTCACCCGACTGCCACAAATCTGGCCGCTGAGCTCCAAGTCACTCCCGACAGCTCCACAATTTCTTCAATGGTCCGTCGTCGATCTTCCTTGATGATTTCACGAATTTTTTCAACATTTTCATGTGTTCGGGCCGTGGAAGGACGACCAGAACGAGGTTTGTCATCAATTGACATTTCACCATTTTTGAAATGGGAAAACCACTCAAACACTTGAGTTTTCCCCATAGCATCGTCCTTGTACGCCGTTTTTAACATTTCAAGAGCTTCTGTTCCACTTTTCCCGAGCAAAAAGCAGAATTTCACCGCCGTACGCTGTTCATGAAAATCAGTCATTGCAAAAACGACGATCACACAAAATAGTTGTCACTATAAACTCTGCCGAAACTAGTCCTTACCTTCTGAAGCAACGGTAGTCGGCTTATCGACTCAGGAATGTTAGCTCTATGCGCTCATAGCGGCAAAACGCGGTACTACAAAAGCTCTGCCCACAAAAAAATTAGTTCGGTTTCTTTTGGGTACCCCATTGTACACAATTATAAACTATGTTTGATTTGAGGCTCTTACAGCTGTAACTGTCAGGAGTTCTGTTTCCTAGGTTGTAACACTGTGTAGCCTGGTGAAAGTCAGTGTTTTTGAGGATCATATTGCTTCAGTCTTCAGGGCAGCATTGCTTGCTGCTTGCTTCATGCTGGTTTCTTGCTTGGCTTAGTCCTCAGCCCTCAAGATGGAGGCAGTAAGTGTCAGTTGACTTGCACTAGACTACATGATGTTACATCCAAGAAGATAGAACTAATCTGTAATTACAACTGTGACATGTCTGTACCAGCCCAGATCTGGTTAGTGATACCTGACCTAATGTTTAAATTCCAGTGGCAATCAATTCACTGGAAGGAAAAGATATACCTGAAGGTGCATTGGACAGTGTCCAGGGACAAGACATATCACTGTCACAACTGTACGAGTCCTATGCTGGAATACATAACCTTATCCAGTCATTTATAAGCCTGCCACAGGGATCAGTTAATTCTGATCATCTGAAAGAAGGCTTAAAGGAAGTGAAGTAAGTTAAGCATTGTTTACATTTTAAACCACAGGGTACTAAAATATGCTCTGTGCTGCTAAGTTTAATGAAGGTACATTCAGGTCCACTGCAAAGCTGTTCAGAATGGAGTTACAGAAGGGCGAGAGGGGGGGTTGAGGAAGTTTTCAGAGTCTGAACACTGCATAAAACATCTGGAAAACAGCAAAAGAATTCATTGCCAGATAATTTAATGATAAATATTTTCATGATTAAGCAGCTAACAGTTATGTTAACAACATAATTTATTTATGATTATTAGAATGTATTTTTGTTTTTTTAATGCTCTACATAATGAAATTCTAATTATGCTATCATGTAGTGATTTTCAAATTGGGAGCCAGGATTGTCCAGTCTAATTTCATACCAAGCTGTGTCTGGTAGGGCCTAGTTCAAGAGGATATATAGTACATCATCAAAATTCTTTGGAGAAATAAATAAATACAGGAAAGGAAGCAACTCAAATCTTACATGTGCATTTAATTGTTAACAGAACGTCTGATTTCTGGGTTCATTATTTAGATTCCCTGACGAATGTCAAACAGACCTCATAAATATCCTTTATGGACCAAAAAGACTAGCTTTGGATGAGAAGAATTGCCAGGACAGTTTCTATTTGAAATTGGAGAAGTTGAGATGGAGGGTTGACATAACCATTTCATCAAGGTAAAATCTTGCACATTTATTTCACATTAAGATATAACAAGTAATTCTCATTTATATACAGAGAGATTTTTTAACTTTGTTGACTGGTTCAGGGGCACGCGGTAGCGTAGTTGGTTGAGGGGCTATGCTACAAGCTGGAAGGTCGCGGGTTCAAGTTCTGATGAGGTCATTGGATTTTTTTTTCAATTGACCTAATCCTTCCAGCTGCACTATGGCCCTGGGGTTCACTCAGCCTCTAACATAAATGAGTACCAGGAATTAATTAAATAATTTTCTTGGGGAATAAAGCGCGGCAGGCGCATAAGGCTGACAACCTTACCGCCATCTTTGAGCCGAATGTCTAGATAATGTGGGACCCTCAACGTTTCACAACCCTATGGGCCTTCACAGTCTGGTACAGGGATAACTTTACTTTTTTTTTTTTTTTTATGTACAGGTCATTGTGCAGTTCTTTTCAGAGTTAACAGAAGAAGAAAGACTCTATGGCTGGTTTTAGGAAGACTGAGCTACTGCCCACACTGCACGTGTCTCTGTGCAGGGCTTTGTCTGATGTCTTCGGGGACAGAATTGCCAGCATGCTCACCTGATCTTAATACTCATGATTTTTTCTTCTGGGATTGTGTGGAGGACAAAGTTTACAGTAACCCCTGAATGGAAGAACCAAAAGAAAATATTCATAGGGAAATTGCAAATATTCCTATAGAACAAGTAAATCAGAACCGCTTCTGCCAGTGTGAGGACTGTATACATGTAGAGAGGGACAGCATTTTCAACACCTCTTATGATCTGTGAACAAAGGTAAGAACTTCCCTTTATTCTGAACATTACTGACCATCACGCACGCTGATGTCGGCAGGATTCATATATGCCTTGCAGCAGCTGCTGCACTGGACACAGTGAAGCACAGAGTCGCGGAACTGGTCAGCAAAGTAAAATTCTCCCTGTATTAAGAGATTCATCCCTTGAACTTTTGATTGTCTATCTGTAAACAAAGTAATATTCACAGAGTTACCAACTAACCGTTTCACAATTCAGTTTGCTTGCAGTGAAGATAAATAAATCAGTAACATTTGCATCCACATAGATTTAGCAGTAAATAAAGTTCTTGACTTACAAGGGTATCACAATATGTGTTACCTCCATATCCACGTGACAGGTAGAATGGCAACCATCTAATTTGTTATTTGTTTATAAGCTTGATTTTGTTTTCCAGTGTTCTATCAAGAGTTCTGGAACCCAGCATACTGTTCGAGATGACCCTGAGTAATGGCGAGAAGAAAACATTTGAAGTGTCCATTTCAAAATTTCACCAAATAAGATATAGTGTGGCATCAATTCTGAAGGAAATGGGGTTGATGGAAAAGAAAAAACTTTTCAAAACAAATGTGTAATATAAGGAAATATTAATTATAGTGGAAAGCTGAGCCCTCAGCATGATGCACTGTTTCATGTTTAATCTGTGAGAACAACACTATTGATCAAAACATTACTTTTCCAAAATATAAACAATATGAACTTTACTGTAAGAATGCCTAATAAAACAAATGATTTGGTTGCTTTTTATTTTCATATGAAATAAGATGGACACACTTGATTAGAGCAGAAATGAACATGAATATTTAATTCACATATCAATTTCCATGATCTTATCCACATGTCAGTATGCTTGTTATATACTTTCTGAGAACATCCATATACTATTTGTGAACCTGCTTGGTAAGCATGTCATATTTCTGGATCACAGAAACAGTTTGCCTTCAGATTAGATGTGTGGGGAAAATGACCATTATTTAGGGTTATAATTAATGAATTTAAATCTCCACCCTTTGAAATACCTGTCATGGCATTAAAAGGTGATTCATATTTTCTGAAGGATTAGGAAATATGAAGATAACTTTAAAGGACAGAAATTTATGTCAAGAGCATAGTGATTAGTGAATATCTGTAGTAAGACAAAGTTTCTGTTAACTGATACTGAAACAAAACACTAAATATTGTGTAGAACCAGGGATTTTGACTTGAGTGAACTCACCTATGCTTTCATGTGCAAGCACCTAAAATCACAGAAACACACAACTGCATATCTTACATATTACCGTATTTACGCATGTATAGGCCGCAGCACAATTTTCAGACAGAAATTATAGAAAAAATAATTTTCTTGGAATATTATTTCAGGAGTATTACACCCTGTATTACTAATTATGAATATAATTTTTTTTAAATGAAGTGTGATTTCGAATATAAGCCGCACCCGTTTTCCTCTTGAATTTTTGGCAAAAAATGTGCAGCCTATACATGCGTAAATACGGTAATTTTCTTTCTTTGAAACTTAGTTGTGATTAATCCAGCTTACAGCTCATTCTAGAGTAGCTGGTGGTTATGAAGAAGGGAAAGAAATTTCCTTCCAGATGAATTTACTCATGGTTTTTGTAAGAATGCATTTAATAATTATGATCATATAGTGTTGAAAAATACAAAGATTAGTAAATAATGAACTGTAATGGATGAGGAAGGAACTGATCATGGCATAATTTGAGGTACTGTACTGGTATAAATTCCTGCAGTGTAATAAAGAATTTCATAGAATAAAGCAGTAGTACAAAGACACGAAGTACAACTTGGTGTCTGGAGCCACACCTTCCCGTAAATACACTATGTCGTTAATGTGAAAATTTTGATCAAAATGAGCAATGTTTTATTCATACATACTGATAACTACATATACAGATTCCAGCATCTGACAGTACCCCATACAAACTCACAGTTCAAATGTATAAATGTTGTGTTTATATTGGAATGTAAATAAAAAAAATTACAATATTGCACTGTACAAAACTTCAGATAACATGGAATATGGTGACATCAATATGTGAAGGAAAAAAAAAAAAGCAAGCAGCTACTGGCCAACCACCCACTACTAGGACACAACACCAAATATTTGCTATCAGTCAATGCTCATTTTCAGCAATAAGCTGATGTATGGCTAATACATATGTCAAACCTGCCTGACAGAGAAAAGATAGTTTAATAACATATACACAACAAATAGTGGAGATCTCTTTCCTGTATAAACAAGTTACCAATAAAGGGCACTTTTTTTTTCATGCAACAAAAAGGCAGTTAAAAATTACACAGTAAAACCTGGCTAAAAACGGAACCTGAATTATTTAGAACCTCCCACTTCCATAATGTGGAGGGATTTGCGTGCCCTGATGTCCCAGAGGGCTGTACTAGTGTCTGGCAAGCTCCTGGGAAGGTCATTAATGCCCCACACACAGGAATAAAGGTAGGGTCCAAAAGAAAGTTAGCCCCTGGTCCTCCAGGTTGGGGAACACCTTGGAAAACAATATATATTAAGAATCCTAACAATGGTTGCCAGGTCAATAGTTCTGAGAGGCTGAAAGAAGGCTATAAGAACAGTGAGTTAAGATGGAACAGGCAAATGAGAAGAGATGCAGAACAAGGTTCTTAGAATACCACCAAGCCACCTGGTGAGAAAGTAGGTGTAAATGGAAAGCCACCTGTATTGCAGGCAGAAGTTCTCCATGTTGGCCTGAGTTAAAACAGCTCTAAATAGAAGCTGTTTAATGCTGACATTGAAATAAACATGCAATAATTTAATGAAAGATATTCTGCTTAGACATTTAATGTCTGGAAAGAGGAAAAAGGAAGAAAGACAGTGGGGAGGAGGAGGAAGAAGAGTGTGAACAAAAGGATGATAGACAGAAAATGTGAAAACTGAAAATACGTACAGGTTATGAAGTTTTAACAGTGACAGTTCAGATTGTGATATTCTGGGTTTTGACGCTGTGCAGCTGTCTCCATTTTCAGGATTGAAGTGTGTAGGGTAAAGAACTGCAGGGAATAGCTCATAAGGGAAGTGACAGAGACCGAGCCCTGCCCTAACACCATGAACAGGATGGAAGGATTCTCCTTGAGTGGGTCGTGGAAGCCTTTTATTTTTAATTCACTAGTGGGGGGTGGAGGCCAGCTGGGTCCACTCGGCACAGCGGCCACTGATTGGCCTATTGTACCAGCCCCAGGTGATTATTTGATGATGATAGAGAATTTGGTGGAATGAAGATTGGCAGGGGAAACTAAAATACTTGGAGAAAACCTGCCCCAGTGCCACTTTGTCCACCACAAATCTCACTTGACCAGACCCGGGATCGAACTCAGGCTGCTGTGCTGGGAAGCCAGCAACTAACTGCTTGAGCTATGGTGCGGCCTGTGGAAGCCTCTTACCTACTCCCTGAAGAAAAAAGGTTCTCGGTACAGGCAAGATAGAGAGAACTGTTAATTGTCACTCCTGTGAGAGCCTCAACTCACACATGGGGGAAAAAAATGTATTTTTCCATGACAATACAGTGTGTGTGTATACTACCACAGTCGATAAGTTCGTGGAATGGACGCAAAGCGTCGTACGGGAATTTACTGCCAATATGTTTCAGCAATGTTTTTGACAGCTATATCAACGTTGGCACTTGCATAGCAGCCAACAGCAACTATTTTGAGGGCCGATGTGGATCTGTGTAAGTGTATGTGAATACCTTGTAATATGATGTGATAAAACTACATTCCATGAACTTAATGACACTACCATGTGTGTGTGTGTGTGTATATATATATATATATATATACACAGCATGAGTTTCCAAATTCTGATACCTATCAATACATTAGGTACATACAAAACTTTTTTTTATACAGAAGTAAGTACCTGTGTTAAATGAAAAAAAAAATGTTCTCTTGAAATTGTTTTAAGCAGGTTTCACTGTAATTCTTTTGTTGTAAAGCTGGCCCATGCATGGCTATGCCCTGATTTGAAGTAACTCTTAGTTCTTTGAAAATAACCCTGTAATATTTATTTTTCTAGGTTTTGCTACTGTAGAACGTCCTACGTAATATAACGGACACATTTCTATATTTCCTTATACTGGCTGTATAAAACATGTTTGATCATACATCACACCTTAAGTAAACAACCTCATGGAAGAAAGGCCCTGTGTGTTCAATCAGATCTCCAGTATGACAATTTTGGTTCCTATCATGTGTTGAAAATAGAATATAGTTAACTTCCTAATAATAAGGTAACAATCTATATCATTATCTGATGGTTGTACAACCTCAAGGTTATTTTAAATACTGCTACCAACAATTCTATGTCATTACCATGTAATGTAACTGCATATATCCCTTTCTCATGAACACTATGCATGCTAGAGGCATCAAGAGTATTCTAAATTTAAGGGGGTTAAAACTGATGAGGTCATTGAATTTTTTTCAATTGGCCTAATCCTTCCAGCCGCACTATGGCCCTGGGGTCGACTCAGCCTCTAAAAGAAATAAGTACCAGGAATTAATTAAATAATTTACCTGGGGAGTAAAGTGTGGCCGGCTGACAACCTTACCACCATATTTGAGCCGATTGTCTAGAAAATGCGGGACCCTCGTCTCACAACCCTATAGGCCTTCAAGGCCTGTTACAGGGATAGCTTTACTTTACTTTTTAAAACTGAAATGAAAAAAAAAAATTTGCAGGTAGTTAAAAGCTGAAACTGCACCCTCCCCTGCTACCAATATTCCTGTGCTCCATGGCCATACAAATGTGTATGCAACCTAAACTTCAGGAAACTAGTCACTAGTCTCAGACCAAATAATCCAGTAACACTCATTTACACCATTTTTAAAAGAGCAGCCATGGACATTGCCAAGGTTTTCCTTGGGTGGGGGCACAATTTTTCATTCTTAAATGTCTAATTCACTCTGTAATGTAACTGGGTTATGATTTTGCTGCATGCATACTATCTTGTTCTGTTTGCCACATTTCAGGGCAACAGACACAATACATTGTATAACCCTGAAGTTGCTTCCACTCTCAACTCTTCATGTTATATCTAGCAAGTCTGTAATTTGTGCAAATTGAGCTCTAATATTCATATTAACTGTCACAACAATAGTGATATCAGACTTAAAAAACACCGTATGAGACTTGCAGTTCCAATGGCAGTAACTGAGGAGTACTATCTTCTGGTATATGAAAATGTGTAGCCTGTTAGACGTTCACCAAGCTTTCAGAGAATGTACTGCCACCATCTTCAGAGTATACGAGTAAGCTGAGGAAACAAGCAGCAAGCAGAATCTGTTGCTGTTTGCTTGGCTTACTCTTTAACCATGATGGAGGCAGCATGTTCCTCTATGCAGTCGGTAAACTTCTACCAGGCTACATGATGTCACATCCCAAAGACAGTACTCAACATCATTAGATGTTCAATAAACACAAACAGTGAATAG